TCGTAGGGCGGCAATTGGACAAGCGCGCTCTTTAGGCCAAGCATGTCTCCGCTAGATAGGGAGCCTGGGGCCAAAGTCAAAGCCAGAGCGCTCTGCAAGGTTCAAGGGTCGAGCCACTAGAGCCTTTCATACGGATGTACATATGTATGTATGTATGTTTGTATGTATGTTGTTTGATTGGGCAGCTCCGGTCCCTGGCTTTGCAGCGGGGAGTTTTTTTTCGGTCTGTTGTTGGGTTGGGTTGAGTTGGGTTGAGTTGTGTTCTGACTGGCAGAGAAAGCGGAGTTTCTTCACCGTCATCTCGCAACACCATAATTACTCGGAGCACTTGAGCTCATGCCGGAGCCGGTGACTGCCGAAACAGAAGAAGGGACGACAACGGTATCGCCCCAACGTTAGTTGCCTTTCCGTTGCCGAATCTTTTATCTTTGGCCATTCTGATGATGTTTGGAAATGAGCCAACTGTTACGTACAAAACAGTCAAGGACCCATAGATTCCCGAACAAGCTTATGGTGGATTCAGGACAGATGCAAGTTCAGAACCCATGGATCTTTGGGGAAAGAGGGGCAGCGGTCTTAAAGGTGTTCCATTGACATTAACGGTGACGGTGGGCGGTTGCAATTCGACAAATGTGGTTGCAGCCGCAGCGTGCGTGCGTCCCATCGCTCACTCTTCAGACTTCACCGATAGGCATCTCTGCAATCTGCAATACAACGCACATGCTTTTTGCCTTACATACATAGGTACTGTATGTATGTACATACATACATATCGTGTGTCGACAATCGTTTCTTCATAGCAGTATCATCGTGCGTCGTCCTCTCTTTCATCGCGCCCGCCCCTGTCCAACGCTACCTCTCTACCTACCTACCTACTAAGATAGTATGCATGCAGATGGATCGGTGCTCGCTTTCTATGTATCCTGCCTTATGATTTGACAGGACCCGAGATATCACGATTGCCATGACACAGACATTACAGGGCCGAGAACATGGGGCTTGAATTGATGCTGGCAATTTCAACGATGGGTCTCTTATCTTATTCCGATCTGATCGTATGTATGTATCTACTAATCTACTGTGCGGATAATACTGCCATTGAAACTCGATCCATGCAAGGTAGTTTTGTATAGTACATACCTATCTGAAAGGGCTCATCTTCTGCCTGATGGGTGATGAGCAGCATCATGCTCGTCATGATCCTCTTGCACAACACTGGCCAGCACGCTTTAGACCATTACTAGCCCAGCCGGGCGCTCAACTCTTTACCCGCCTACCAACGATAGCCGCCACTAACAACAAGAGACAATGCAAGATGATGTTGCAATACTATTTCTACCTGGCTTATTAGGAACGAACAAACATTTCACAACAGCAGCATCATCCCGCCCCTCCATCATGAGTTTTACCTTTCGCCAAAGGCTAAAGGGCACCCATCATTTGTGAGATTCAAACTCCCCCTTTACGCGACATGTGGTTGGCTCATTCGGTTCTTTGATGGCCTTTTCTTACTCCACCTTGGAGTCCTAATTCGTTGCCGATCCACATGGGCTGATAGGCCACTCTTGTTACCATGTAGAGAGAGGATCACCAACGAGCTTCACCTGATCAGGCAGTCAGTCGGGCTAAGCCTTTGAGGCAAGCAGCGGCTGGGCTTTGGAAAACTCGATGATTAACAGACAAGACAAGCAGACAAGCTCAAATCATTACCCACCGATTCCACTGCCTAATTACTGGGTTTGTTTGTTGCGTTTCAAGCTGGGACCCTTGCCTTGTTCTTTGGCTTGTTCTTTTGAGCTTCTCTATATGGTCAATTGCCGCTCAATGGTCTCGTGACCTTCCCGTCTGGTCGTTCTTCAGGGGTCTTCTGTTTCACTTGGCCCTGAGCTCCGAGATGCTCGGCCGGTGCACGGCCATGCTTTCTCCTCTGGACCCCTCGGTCTTGATGGAAAAGAAAAGACTAGGGATTCAGACAGCTCGGGATTCTGTTGGCCATTATATGTACATACAGAGTGCGCTCACGCCATTCGCGTATTCACGTAAGTTCGACATTGGTTGCACACGTTTTGCTGTTCTGGGTAATTTCTATCCGACCACCATCGGAGCGGAACATCGCTGAAGTTCGGGAGTAGGTACCTTAGACATACACATGGTATGGTACCTAAGCTAGGAGTTGCGGCTCCTCGGCGCTTCATCAAACCCTGAGCGCCTTCCGCTAGGTTGTTGTCGCTTTCTTCTCGAATCTTGGAAGCTTTTGAGACTGGAGAGCGATTCCTTCCACGCCACCTGAAGTTCCACATGCTGGCCTGTGCAGGATTTTCCATCTCCACGATGTGGATGATTCTATACTCCGTACCGCAGCGCGCTCCGTACTTGGCCAGATCCTTGTTCAGTTATTTCCAGCCTAGGCGCTGCCGAGATTATGTGGGACTTCCACCGGGGCTCGTTGTCTGCTTGCAGCCACGTTTCCTAACCTTTCTAGCCTAGCCCCCGTCCTTAATTCGTGGCGGTGTCGACCTGTCCGTCGCCGTGGGGAGTGGAAGCTGGGGCGCCTCTTCTAGATCTGCCATGTCCAGCCAATTACTGCCATGCTGGTAGGATCAGTTAATCAAGACTGGCTTCGTCACCGACTCCCTGCCTCAAGTCTTCCAAGACACTGAGGCGCTAAAAATGAAAAGATGATACAGAGTACGTACTTGTATTTCTGGTCAGAGGACACAAGGGCTCGGTCGGCTTCGGTCGGCCATGTTCGAGACAAAATGATCGACAGTCATTTCCATTATCCAATCAAGGCTGAAGCACTCGCATATCGCATCTTGTTAGAAATTCAGGGTCCAAGCAAGTGGTCCAAGCTGTGAGCTATAAGATGTAACTCATCACTTTATACGGATACATACCGAGATTATGGAGTAAATCAGGGAGCATTTACGTACTGCTTCCGAAGCCACGGACAGTCTCACCAAAGTATAGTCTAACTGTTGCATTGCTGTGGAGGAATCCTCGAGATGGAGAAGCAAAAGTCAAGCAACGACAAAGCGGAGGCGGTTGCATGTGGTCATGCATGACAACTCTCGATATCTGTCGATACTACTTGGCACCAGACACAAAAAGGACTTGCGAATTGCCCTGCCGATCTGTCCATTCTAGACATTTTCATTCATTGGTACTGAGAAGTCTAAGCAATATTCGGGGTTCGAAGAGGCCCCGGAATCTGGTGGTGAATGTGCCGCTTTCACCGCTGATCTGCATAGTCAGAGCAGGACCATTCAGATAGACACATGCATGGTGTTTCAAACGCTCTCTTGGTGGTTGGTTGAGGCTGGTATAACTTATTATTATTATCCATGATAGAAGGCCAACCAGACGATTCGAGACTTGACCCAGGAGCACAGACATGGGCCAGACAGCGTGCAACACCATTCCCCATCATAAGGACCAGTTTAATGCTCAAGCTTGACCTGTTAGCTTACACGGTTTTCAATACTGCCGTGATCATTGTGAACAGTGACTGGCTGGCAGTAGCCTAGACCAGACCGTCGTCAGGGTCCAGAATCGATGACAACTGGGTCTCACTCTCACTCCGAGGAGGGGGCTCCCATGGTACTGGCTTATGTCGAGTTTGATCCAGCTGTTGGGTCCCGAAACATGATCAATTTCTTTCGAGTGACATAGAAATGCTGGTCTTTCCAGCGAGCTACACGGTACTAAGTGCCGAAGGCTTGCCTCCAACAAAAAAAAACCCCCCAGAAAAAGAAGAAGAAAAAAAACTCCGTTCTCATCAAAGAGCTCCTGGTCTGCTCCGAGAGCCTACACCATTTGACTTTGTTAGGGCCCGTAGTGCCAAGAGTTTAAGTGGATGATGTGCTTTACCTATATCGGAAGTCGACCTTCAATATCCCCTGTACAGCTGCGGCTCCTCGGCATTCTTATCAGTTATCTTCGATTGGCTGTGTCTTACACTCCCTTAGGTTTGACATATGGACTTAGTAAAGGCTCCATCGGTCGGAAGCCAAGCTGATGATTTGCCTGAGGCATAAAGATGATGGTCAGTAGATTTCGGTCTTTCAACCTGACCAATGGGAGGCCCCTTTACCTAATCTGCATACTACCAGTATGAGCGACGTGATCAACCAAGAGGTTCCTACAAATGCCCAACACTACTCAACTACCTACACTACACAACCCAAACAAGGGAGGGCATCGATTGACAGAGATATGTGCCTATAGGACGTAGCTGGTAGGTACAATCTCCTCCACCGCCTTTTTGTTCCCCTCCTGTCTGATGCACATTGTCAACGCCTCACAAGGGTCATGTGCATCAGACAAATCCCTCTCTGCATGCAATGCCGAACCCTGTCAGAGCCTGCCACATTCTTGTGTTTCTCGCTTCGTCTTGAATAGGAAGTTTACCGCTTAGCTATCGGATTCCCTGCCAGGGCGTTAATCTTGGAGGGGCCGGGCCTCTCCGTTGGTCTCGAGTTGAGCCTGGCGCTTCTGCAGCACAGCCCTGGATTGCCGTTAAATGTCTCGACTGTGGCTGTTTGCTTTTTGCCCTCCTTGCCTTTGTGGCTATTGTGGCTTGCGCGGCTCCTGTTTAAGCAATCTCGCAATTCATATCACCCGCAGATCATAGGTGATTAAACAACTCCTGCATTGTGGCTGAATCAAGAGATCAGATAATAGTATTCTCTGCCAGTGGGTGGTGTAGATGATCACTACAGGCTAGGGCGCTTCTTTAATGTGCATTGGTGATTGTATATTGCTTGCTGACTTCTGCGTATAACTGTGGTCTCGCGCGGAGTTCTACCAAGACCCTGTGTCGCCAAACGACAATTCGTCGGTCTTGAAGGGTGTGAGACGAGGCGGATTGGATGAGTCACTCTTTCGGTTCCGTTGAAGGCGGGACCTACTATGCATAGGAGGTTCTATCACACCGTATAATGTAGTTGCATATTCATATTATGTATGTGGTTGGCTACCTAACCAGGTAGGGCTGAGGCTCACTCCATTTCCCATCTCCCACTCTTGCCCCCGTCCTTGAGGACAACTCTCAACCCCTCGATAACCATGCCCTTATCCACAGCCTTGCACATGTCGTAAACCGTCAATGCCGCCGTAGACGCCGCCGTCAACGCCTCCATCTCCACCCCCGTCTTTCCATCGCACGTGACCGTGGCTGCGATCTCGACTCTGTCGTCACCCCTGACGTCGAGATCAACTGTCGCCTTGTTGAGCGAGATCGGATGACAGAGTGGGATCAGATCTGGAGTTCGCTTCGATGCCATGATGCCAGCGATCCGCGCAACCCCCAGGACATCTCCCTTCTTCATCTGGTTGTCTCTGATGAGCCCAATCGCTGTGCTGTTCGAGAATCGGACGGTGCATGCAGCTTTGGCGATGCGTGATGTCACCGTCTTGTCTGATATGGAGACCATCCGTGCTTCCCCAGAGGCAGAGACATGCGTCAGCTTTGCGTTGTCGCTGCTGTCCTGTCCACGGGCATGGCGAGTTTTGGAGAAGAGTCGCTGCTGTGTGAAAACAGATCGGCCAGCCTTGAAGCAGGGACCGTTATACAGAAGGTATTGCATTCGAGGAGGCATGGCGCGCAATGACGAAGACGGACCAAGGGCATCTACAACAAAAAAAAACTCAATTCAGTATTGCTTTCATCTCATATAAGACAAGAGGGTGTCCAAGCCTCAAAGTATAAGTGGTGAAAAAAAAAACCCCCCCTTCAACGCCGCTCCATCTGTGCATGATAGTTGCCCCGCGAACAATCTCTGAATAGCCGTCTCTTGAACCATACACTTGAGTCTGACATTGCGAACCATGCGATGCGTGGGAATTTTGCAAACAAGATGAACAAAGGGGTGTAATCACCCACCTATCAAGATCATGGGCCTATTCTTCATATGCTCGAGCTCACCGATGCCCGCATGTTTTGCCTTCTTTCTCTTGACAGCGGCACCAATGACTTCGAGCAGCTCCGTCTCATTAGGTGCCAGGCCGAGAGGAGTCCGGTCTGACGTCAACAAGTCCCTCCGCCGGTCCATCTCGATCTGTTTCATGGCATCGAAAGCCCGCTCATCGATGGGCTCGCCACTGTTGGACTTCCGTAGGATATCGCGTAGAGAGACCTCAGCATTGCCAAATAAGCACACCTTGAGGTTGCCGTCACCTGTTATTCGAAGACGGTTGCAAGTACCGCAGAAGTTGTGCGTCATGCTCGTGATGAAGCCTATTCTTCCAGTGAAGCCAGGAATGTGCCACGTCTTGCTTGTATCGTTCTTGTGATCCTGCACTTTTTCCAGCGTTGGGTACTTTGTCCTGATGAGGTCCAGCATCTCTTGATAGCTAAACATCTTGTTCTTGCTCCACTTGTTACCGTCGAATGGCATGTACTCGATGAACCGGACCTCGACGTCCTTTTCTTCCGTCAGGCCCACGAACGGGAGCACCTCTCTGTCGTTGACACCCCTCATGACCACGCAATTGATCTTGAGCTTGATGCCAGCACCAAGTCTGTTGAGCTCCAGAATCCTATCGATGCTCTTCTGCACGGCCTCAAAGCCTTTCCTCCTTGTCATGATCTGGAACTGCCAAGGATCCAGAGTGTCGAGGCTCAGGTTGACACCCGTCAGTCCGCTCTCGATCATGCTGTCGAGCTTCCGGTGCAGAGAGATGCCGTTGGTTGTGATGCAGATCTCCTTTAGACCATGCCGTCGTAGCTCTCCAATCTGTTGCATCAGAGGTAGGATGTCTCGCCGCACAGTCGGTTCTCCTCCCGTCAATCTGATCTTAGTCACACCCTGCGAGACAAATATGGACGACAAGAGGACAATCTCTGGTGTCGTCAAGAGCTCTCGATTTGGCGACAATGGCACGCCTTCTTCGGGCATGCAGTAGACACATCGCAAATTGCAGCGCTCCGAGACAGATATGCGAAGGTAATCATGTTGTCGGTGGAAGGTATCTGTGAGGAAGTCGGAGAAGGGTTTTGGATCTCGGATGCGCCGGCGACGAGACTGTAGGAGGTCGATCTCTGACGGTGCAGAGGGAGGTTCGCGGGGTGCCTCATGGGGTCTCGCAGAAGCTGTCGCAATGGTTCTAGAGGAGGGACAAGCGAGGAGCGCTCGTGAAGGAGCCGTCCGTTGTAGGGTAGTCTTGGTCTTGGCTGGAACCGAAGCTTTCGAGCCTAAAAGGCGAAGCAGCAACATATTTCTGAGGCTTTATAATACCTTCTAAGTTATTTACTTGACAAGTGGGAGGAGGAAGATGGTTAGGTGAGTCAGGCGTACATATGTATGAGGGGTTCGCTTCCTATGATTCCATCGTTTCGTGCTATCGCAAATACGATGCGACAATGGGGGAGAACGAGAGAGCAAAGAGGTTGGCAAGGGAAAAAACAATAAGCTGACCTGGTGTCTCTGTCGGCCGTCGGCGCTTCGTTTTCCAATACCTTACCTTACCTAGTTCCAACCTTAGGTACCTACCTATCATGACCTTAGTAGGTGCTCCGTAGATAGGTCGAATACGCAAGTATGAAGTGTCTGTCCCTCTTGAGCTATCCAATCTTATCATGGGGCCCGCTCGCCACAATTCGATCCCCGCGCTGAGTAATGGAAATAGCCTCCAGTCTAACATTAGTTCAAGCCGCGGAGTTGCACAGACTGCAACAGTAACGTTAGTTCGAAAGTGGAATGATAAAGATGCTGCTGTAACTTGTCAGCGGTGACAGTTCCGCCTGGAATCATGTTGTTGTTGTTGTTTCAGGGGATTCAAGTCAGGTGGAATACTCACTCGTTCGACGCTGAATTGGCTCTTCCATCTTTCAATGCCTCCTCTGAACCTACCTACTTCAGAACGCAGAGAGAGGACTTGTTCGCGTGCATGATGCAAATCCATCATGGAACATGCATATCAGGCCCTGATAAACTGATGACCAATTAGGAAATACTAGCTGACCTATATGATGTGCCATACCCAGGTACTTACTTACCTTATATACGTAAATTAGTATTTCCGCATAGGTACTAAACATAGAGCCGCCTGATTTAAACGCACCCAACACAGCATTATAGTAGGTAGCGTGTCCAAGATTTTGATGATAGATGAGTTACTATTGTCTAGGTGTACCTAATTGACATTGCGATATACGTACCTACCTACCTAGGCATAAGGTATACCTTAGTACCTAGGCATACAATGGAAAGCTTAGAGGTAGCAGGTTCCGGGCATGAGGTGTCTAGGTGTTCAGCGCATCAGGAACCCTCCGCCTTGATGGCTGGTGACGCTAGCACAGATGAGGAAATATCAAAACATTAAAAACATCCCCCACCTTTAATAAGTGCTTCCTCATCACACTAACTATCAGTGAAGACTGAATAATTGAACCGCTCAAGGACACTCGATGCTAAAGAAAGACCATCACAGCACGAAGGGGACTCGATAGATCGAAGCAAGACTTGAACGAGACCATCGCCTGACTTTCCCCTTATCCTTTGGTACCTTGGTCAACCACTTTGTAACCCCGCCCTCACCACTCACTCACACTCTCATCTTCAACACTCAACACTTCTTCAGGCGACAGTCGTGATGCATCCATCACGTGTCTTCAAAGGTATAAATCTACCTTACCATGCCAATTCTAGAACGCACCGACTTCCTGGGCTGGGATTCCCCCTTCTTCTCCTCTTAGACAGCACCTGAGACACTGAACACTGACCAGGATTCACAGCATCACCTCATTGCGTGCCCAGCCCCGACGGAAGATTTATTGCTACCCTATCATCGCAGAGCATCACAGTGCGCTTGGTTTTCTCGCTCTCGATTGCGCATGTGGTCAAATTGCCCTCAGATCTCACGACGCCTGTAACCACACTCGCATGGTCACCTTCATCGTCTCGTATCCTTGTTGCAAGTGCCGATCAGATTCATGTCTTGTCAATAGTTGACTCGTCATTTCGTGCCACGATCAAGAACCCTGCAGTTGGAGGTGGAAAGCAGACACTTGTACAGTTTGGCGCCCATGATGATGAGGTCTTTGCCTGTGCTGCATTTGGCCTCAAGTTTTCCATTTTCGATCTATCAACTTCCAAAGCTATCGAGATAAGCAACCCCAAGTTTTATCTCCCCTCTTCCGCCCCCAGGGGCCTTTCTGTACGACCTCAGACGTCACATCTTGCCATCCTGACCCGGACAAATGGTCGAGATGCTATCAGCATTCACCACCCCATATCGAGGCAAGTTCTGCGATCTTGGTACCCGGAAACAGTCGACGCTCATGGTTTGAAATGGACCCCTGACGGCCAATGGCTTCTGCTGTGGGACGCCCCGGCACATGGGCATAAGCTCTTACTCTACACCCCCGACGGCCAGCCTTTCCGCTCCATCCTGGCGTCCAGCATCACGGGAGGCGAGGATGCCGACTTCGAGACGGGGTTTAAGATTTGCAATCTCAGTCCTGACGCGTCGTTATGTGTCATGGGCGATGGCAGCAGAACAGTGGGCGCTTTCAGCACGCAGACATGGAGAGGTGGTCTGAAACTTGTACATCCCACTACAGTCGTCCCCAAGGACACCCTGCAGGTGAGCTCACTTCATATACGGCTTGCTTTCATTCTCACAAATTACCCTAGGTCTGGCAGGAGCAGCTGAACGATTCATCCCATGGAGGGATCCCGTGTACATTTCTTCGTGCGAACCAGATGGTCGCACCTCCGAACCGATTGGTCGACGGCAAGGTCCCTAACGAGGTCAGAGCTGGATGCTCTTCGTTGGCCTTTGATGCATCTTCAACTCTGTTAGTTACCAAGCTTGATGATACCCCTACCACGCTGTGGATCTGGGATGTCACCGCAGCTGAGCTCCGGGCAGTACTCATGTTTCACTCAGTCGTGGACTTTCATTGGCATCCCACTGCCCGCGAGCTTCTTCTCGTGACATGCCAAGATGAAAAGTATCGCGGTGTGTCCTTTGTTTGGGACCCCCTGTCCGAAGGCCCCAAGCCAGTCTCTTTGGGCGCTTATTTGCCAAACGGAAAGACCATTGGAAGGACCAGAACAACATGGATCAACAGTGATCCCGAATTCCCGGTTGTGATGATCTCAGACGCGCAAAACGGAGTCTTAGTATCGTGCTCAGATGGGGCACAATGCCCGACTCCATGGCGTGAAGGGGCAGTTGGCGATAGAACCATAGGATCGGTACAGGATCTTGGAGATACCGTCGACATATCTTCTCTGATGCCGGACGACACATCCACTTTGGACGATACCTTCTCTTTCAAGCACGTATAAAAGGAGCGTCGTCAGGGTCACCTCTGTACGGCACAAACTGAATCATCTCCTTTAGGAAATGGTTACGGCATGGTTACGGCTTGGCACGTGTAAGGTTAAATAAGGAGGGAAGAATGAGGCTGGACTCTATTGGAGATGATATCCCGCATTTGAGTCATTGCAGTGGCCAGGGTCATGTTACACAAATGGCGCTTCCATTTGATGTCGAGGGCATGGCTGCATAACGAGACTCATAAAAGGTGTGTAGTTTCCTCTTCTCTCTTGGTAGCGACAGCTTGCAAATTGGACCTCCAATGAGCAACGAATCGAACCCACGTTTGTTGGCGCCACGGAAGCGACGTGCACGCATGGCTGCGAAAAGAGACCTCAGGTTATGGACTGCCACTGCTCTTCCCGCCGTGAGATCAAGAGAGAACTGTTGGTGCCTTGCGCCGGGCATTCGATCATCGCCTCGATTGTCGATGGATCTGTCACTACTCAACACCCAGCCACTTCAGATTTCTTCAGATGGTGGAGCAGTGATCGCAATATGATATATCATTGTCTCATGCGGGACCCAGCCCGGTCCTCTGCATGTCGAGCAGGGAGAGACATGCCTAGACATTTACGGCCGGTGGCTTGGATCGATCTACAGCACCTGGGCATACGGCTGAGTTGAGGGACAACGCCCACGAGAATCTGCACTCTTTGAAGATTTCTGCTCTGGCGTCCAAGCGCGAAATGAACATCCTTAGTTCCGCAACGGCATTGAACCCTACATTTCCGGACGATCTGCCCCTAGCTGGGACCCCACATCTCGAGGCTGAGAGTCAGGATGCATGTCGAAACGCTGACAGGGATCTCGGGTCACACTGCACCATTGATCATCCAGGAGGCGAGCTTGCCAGATCCAGACTTGTTAGTCTCAACGTTTCTCGGCGTTCTCTCGATGCTGAGACGATATGCACCTCTGCAAACCGCCCATATTCCGGTGTCCTTTCCAGACCCCGGGGCGCCCAGATTATGGCCCGAGTGCTGGGATCGAATGCAAGCGAATCCAGAGCCGGTAAAGAACGATTGAAAAGCAACGTTTGGAAGATGCTAGACGGGTTGTTGTCTCTTCTGATTCTATCTTGCCGCTCCCATGCCAGATGTTGCGAGAAGCTAGATATAAAGCATACATAAGGTCTTTGCTTGTCATTGATTCACAATATGACCGAGCCTGATTCGAAGCTTCCAAGAGCCTTCATTTAGAGCCCCGAAGAGCAGCGTGACTCAGTGATGAGATAGTACAGTTGGCCAATCTCCCAGCTGTCACTTTTCCAGTGCTCACTCCCCGTTGCTTCTCGTGTTATCGTCACACAGCTATTGGCTTTCTTTTCAAACTTTTGTAGCATCTCACAAGACCTCGTTCGGAACTGGAAACTTGTCGGCTTAGTGCAGATTCCTTCACCCTATGCCTGCCGAAGCTACAGTCCAAGCGGACGTTGGTCCCGGTGATGAGACCGGCATCTACTACATTACCATTTGCAACGTACGGTCTCTCACACCCGTCATGACCTGTGCTACGGTCACAAAGCTAACTACTCTTGCAGTTACCATTCGCAACTTCGTGGCAGGAGTTGAAAGATTGGACACGTACAGCATGCGTCGTGGACCATATCGAGGTCTTCCAGAGCAGCACCTCAGGATGGGTCCGGGTTCGGGGAAGAGAGAACTTTGAAAGGGCATGGGGTAGGCATACATCTCGCAAGACGAATACCTGGCCGAGCTAATACGGTAGCAGCACTTCTCAACGGCGGTGTTTTCAAAGGTCGCTCGATCATTGCGTCCGACAGAAACCGTAAGCATTCTATCAAGATCAAGGAGCTTGCTGCACCACCGCAAGCCGTCATTTCACAGACACTGCAGTATCAAGCCACACCTCCCAGCCCCTATGTTCTGCCAACTCAGATGGCAATGCCTCCGCAGTATTCTGCTGCACCTAGACAGGTAAGCTGGCCTTTCTGAAGATACAAGCTTTGAATAGATCCTGGTAATGACTCTTTGACTCTAGTACTACATAGCTAGTTACCCTCCGGCCAACAGCTCCCGATTCACTACTCAGTCTTTCTCGAACCCAAGTTACTCCGAGCAGCTACCAATCACAGTAGCCACAAACACGCCAGCGACTTACGCGGCTGCCAGCCCGGGGAGCTACTACACATACAATGATACCGGTACTCAGTTGTCTGCCCCAAAACCAGGCGCAGTCTCGTACTCTCCACAATATCAACATGGAGTAAGCCAGCTTGCTCTTCCTTATCGCGGTATTAGTGAGAATCCAGGGTACTACCCGAACTGTAGCTTCTCCAGCGGCGAGGCATCCTATAGGTCGGAATACGTGGTACCGGAAACACGCAAGCTATGTGTGTCGCCATTCCCGCAACAAGCGGAGGCCGATGAAGTCAAATCTTGGGTTCAGCGCAAAGTGGACAATGACAAGATCGAATCCATCGAGATACCCAAGAACAGTGACAGCAATTACCTTAGGGGCTACATCATGGTCCTTTTTGAAAACGTCGCGGCCGCAAATATTGCGATGGAGCAGCTGAACAAAGCACGTTTCCAAGGCAGAAGAATGGTAGCGCGACCCACTCGTGAGGATGCAGAGGTGGAAGAGCTTGGGGAGCCCATGGTTTCGCATGAATCGTCAAATTGGGCCGACCCTGAGAGGAGCGAGGCGAATGTACCAACTTCTCCATCCCGCAGGAGACATGATGGCCGAAGACGGAACGAGAAGCCCCAAAGGTCAAAGAAGAAGGGGACCAAGTCAAAGGGATTTAACAAAAGGAAGGCAACGGAAAAGAAGTCGTCTTCGAGCAGGAAATCTTCAGGGTCGCAAGTGGACAAGAAGTTGCCATCGAAAAAGGCATCCGCTAAGAAGGAGGAGACCAGCGTCAAGGATGAAAAGCCGGTCATCGTTGATGGAACCTCCTATTATCATGACAAGCATTGATGTAAAGATACTTGCCCCTGGATAGAACGAAAACGAACGATGCAGACCTTTCGGCAGATGTCTATCAACCAATGTCAGGAACTGCTTAACACCGAGTGGAATTTGTGATCACTCCGACAAAGTAGCAAGAGCTGAATTATCATCGCCGTTACTTGTTACTTGACCTAGCTCAACTGAAGACCACATGGGCATGTTCTACTGTGTGACTAGCGAGCACTAAAGTCTGACGCAAGGTCAAAGAGCTGCATGTCAGTAAAAGTCTTGGCCACATCGGTCCACTGCAGGAAATGTCACAGCCCAAATCATTGATTATTGCAAAGGCCGTGCATCCTCGAGGATCAGATACTGTAATGGCTAGCCTATGTAGGTGGCCTAGATCGCGTGGGGAAGTCAGAAAAAGAAAGGAAACCATCTCTGATATCTGATATCCCTACAATACTACCTACTCTACCCAACTACCCACCATGCCATGGTGACACAGACCAACAAGATTCTGCGGAGGCCCACCGACACTCTTGTCTCTTTGGATACGGGAACGTAAACGTAAAACAAACCAGCCAGCCCTTGTTTGGCGCTCGCCTCAACTGTTGGCTGGATGGCTACCTGTGCTACTCTTCAGTGGAGTTCTCACGATGGGGTTTCCTATCTCGTTGCTCTCACTCAGTAACGATAACATTCCCCTGTCAGTGTATGTATGGGCCTAGTCTGACACGGCTATGTTATTCCTGACCATGCTAACTAGCTGATGTTCCAGAAGCTGGTCGTACAACCCCCGAATATTCGCCGCGTTATTCCCCTCTAGACCAACTCTAGTCGATGTTAGCTTTGGAAGCTAAAAATTAGGCCCTCCAACCGAAAATACGCAGGGCTATCGGCCGACAGGACATTCTACAGAGTCAGAGACCACGGTGGCACTACCTACGTCTTGGAGATGAGGCCTGAGTAAAACAACAGAGCTGCTGTTGCACACCACATGATTGAAGAGGCCACAGGTGCTTCGTGTTTGTATCTTGGTGTGTCATGACGCCATAATTATATATGTAGCCGTTAACCATATCTACCCCATTGCATGTATAAAAAGCCCCGTCATAACCCCATTCTATCATTCTCCCTTCCCGTCCCCATGTCACACAGAGTGAACCTTGTTGATTCGTAGTTCTGCGGCTTCAAGACTTGCGTGTTGCCATCGTATTGCAGTTGGTATCGATAGCACGGCATATTGGCGGTAGCCTCGAGCGTGCTGTACAGTGACTGGAGCTATGCCTAGTTATGCGATCAATGCAATGCATGCTTGGCCCAGAACATTGTGCGGATAGGCTGCAGCGATCCTTGTGTAACATGACAAATGACTCCACAGTCTTTCCATCGGGGATACGCCGGCCGTTGGGCCAGCTGAATCGTATCTCGTCTAATCATTCTACCTTGGGCTTTAGCTGGAGGTCACTGTCCGTCTGGTACGTGCTGCTGCCGTTCATCGCCCGTTGTCATATCCCTGTCAGCTTGTCTAGCATGACAAGCGGTGCTTTTGCTTCCCTGACACACGCCCCTAAGGGTCTCAACATAGATGGCTTGTGGTCTTCGTCATTTTGATTTTTTCTTTCTTTTTCTTTTTTCGTATTTGTAATAGGGTTGTACGTCCGACTGAAGGACGGGCACAAGTTTAAGCCTGCCAAGGAGGGATGCAGCTTAGCTTTGGGGATGAACTTTACTCATAATGGCTCAACCTCATTGCCCACCCTTGTACGGATAGGCACCTCGTGAAATGTACGTCAGATCAACCTCCGAAGTCCATCTTCAGTGCAATACTTGGTTGCCCGGACTCCCCTGTTGCAGCCTTGCTCACTTGGCCTGTGGTTTGCCGGCCGAAGCGAATCACCTCTTCGAGGAACCCCTTTTGACCATCGGTCATGCCGCCGACTACTGCTCTGAACGTCTCCTGATCGATCGCGGCAAGCTCGAGTAATCGTGCGCTAGTCTCTTGGTATACCTCCTCACCCTCAGCTGTTGCTCGGGCCATCAATGTTGGGATCACCACTGCCATAGCGGCCAAATGTCGACCCCTGACGCCCGTGCCCACATATTGACAAAGAGTCTGAGCAATTAAGGATCTAGCATTCTCGGGATCCTCAGGGTCTGTATCGGTTACAAAGGCTACAAGTCGGGGAAACAGGTAACGAGCAATGCTGAGATCAGCACTGGTCTGGGATGGCTGGAGCAGCAGCGACTTAATGCAGTTGGCCGCGATCTTGGCAGTCTAAAGTAGGCTATCGTTAGTTGATCTCCCTAGAGTGGAGGGTGAAAGTGAGCTGGACAATGCATACCATTCGATCAGTGAGACAGTCCATCAACTCCTCAAGATAACGGGCCACAAGAGCTTCAGAAGCTGGAAGGTGATTCTGGCCTCCAGTAAAGAGGATTGTCGTAGCCAACAGACAGTTCTTAACACAGGTAAGGGATTGAGGAGCCTCACGCTTCTGCGCGTTGAGGTATATCGACAGGAATCGGCGTAGGCACCCCTGCAATTGAACATCTGTGGAAGATGGCTCGCCATTGCTTTGGTTCCTTCTTGACTTGGACATGCTACCGACGAAACGCTTCAGTGTGGACAGGGACTGTGGGACGATGAGCTCCTGGCAACCAGGCGTTGATAAGATTGTGGCAAAGATGTGTATGATGCAAGCATGCAGATCCGTTTTGATAATAGCTGGAAAGACCTCTGCGGCGTCCACGAGCGCGTTGAGAGATGACCGTACGAGAAGAATGGCTTCTTCGTTCATCTGGTGCCTGGCTGGTTGGTTCCCTTCGGAAAGATTTGGAAGAAGTCCTGTAAGAACAAGAACGATGATTCGCGTCAGCTCAAAGAGCTGGTCGATATCATCAGACAGGTCGCCCTCTTCAGTAGCGTGTCTCCTTGCAGAGGGGTGCGCAATGCACAGTACGCTTGCGATCTCCACGATCACACCTTGAACGTCGAGGCTCTCGGTGAGTACTAGACGATCTAGTAAGTCCATGGTCTCGGAAAACACATCTGGCCTGTAGATAGCATGGCCAGACACACTTGGGTGGAGGATCTTCTTGAGGGCTTGAAGGATGGCCAACGTCTGTTCGTGCGTAGCCAGAGAATCGCTTTGCCCAGAACGCGTGGCAAGCGCCTCGAAGGCCAGACCGAACAGAACAAAGAAGAATGCCACAGGCTCGTCTCTGTAATTGATATCGGAATTCTTGCTCTTGCCGCTCGCTGAGGGGCCATCTGATTCCTTTCCATCGAGGGCGTCAAACACGAATTCACTATCCTGTTCGATCAAGCTGGCAATCGCATCTACCAGCTTCAGCCATGCATCCTGGTAGAACCGCAGCAATGTCTCGCGATTCAGGGCTGCATAGATGGTGTCAAGACTCCCAGAGAGTGAAGGGGGCCCCAAGGTCATAGAAATGTCAGGCTCGAATCGAAGCCGTGCGAATTCACGGAGTGACTCCAACCAAAGGGGCGTCAATGTGCCGATGTGAGGCCTGAGCACATCCAGAAGATATTTCTGCTCTGAGCTTGCAACCTGGAGCTCCGCCCAAGCAGAGAACACCGATATCTTTACCATGACCTGCGCATTGGAACTCAGGCTTTTCAGATCACCAATCGCGGCATTCTCACTGTCTTTGGAGAAATTTTCTAGAGCGCTTACAAGAGTCTTGAGAATCCTACCCATCCGATCTACGTCGGTGACGATACCGATTGAGATGAAACTGGCACAGACATTGACTGCTTCTGAGGCAAGTTCAGGCGATGAGTCGGCTGCGAATGCTGGGGTAAGAGCTGAGCTGATTTGAGCCTGATACTGCTCCAGCAACATCGCCTCTTCAAAGTCTGGATCCGGTGTCTTGCCAAACATCTTGAGTATGTCTCCTATGATCTTCAGGCCCCAGATACGGAGCTCCAGGACACCAGAGGTTGATGCCGAGAACGCCATGCGAACAACATCTGCAACTTTGCCCTGAAGATCGCTCTGGGCTTTGGACTCTCCATTGGCTGTCACGTCCTTTGCAATTATCAAGAACATCTCATCGATGCAGCTCAGTGCAAAAGTCGTTACTTGCCATCTCAAAGGCTCAACTTCAGAAGTAGCCTTGGTTTCCTTCTCATCTTTAGCAGCACCAGCTGCAGCAGCGAATCCAGCAACCTCCTCGTCTTGCAAGTCGGGTAGGCCACTGCCTTTAGATCCAGATTGACTATCTTCTGTCTTGGGTCGTGCTCTTGTCATCTTGAGTACAGCCTGGAATCTGTGAAGCCAAGCGTTGGTCTCCGTGAGACATGTGTGATGCATCCAGTTGCGGATGATGTTGCGAATTCCGTCATGAGACGGAACGGTATCAAGGACCAGCCAAAGCTGTTCCTCAAACCCGGTCTCTGCTTCTCTGAGCACGTCCTGTGGATTCCGTTTCATCATATTGTGGATCCCATCTACTGATACATCTCGTAAAGTTGTCGATTCAGACATCAGGTACTTTTGAAGCAACTTGACGTAGTCAGCGAACTGCATGTGTCCAAGGGCGTAAAGCGAAACATGCTCTAGACAGCCCAGCGCAGCCCGCTGCACCAGCCAATCATCTTCCTCACGGAAACGGTTAACAAGAGTGAATATCAGCTCTCTTGACTTTGTGGCATCCTGCAGGTCAGGACCTAGGACGTTGATGAGGGAATCAACGCAACGAGCGATAGCGGATGTCGTGGAAAGTTCGAGCTCGAGATTCATTGTAATTGCAGAGGAAATCTCGGCATGATGGGTTTCAGAAACATAAAGCTGAACAAGCATACCCAAAGTACTGGGGACGTAGCCAGCAAAACTTAGCCCCGAGGCATCGGCTGCGAGTGATAGTGCTTCGAGTGCCCAGAAATGGACCACCGGGTGAGGGTCATTGCAAAGAGACATTAGGATACCGAGGATTGTCTTCAGGTGGTACCCGGCCGCCATGCCACCCACCTGGGTTTGGATCGACCCAAGTGCCAT